GAAATGATGCGAAGGAACAAACCAGCATCTTTCCTATAGTGGGCTGGTTAAACAGATCATGGCAGCCTCGGATTCAACCCCTGCCCGACGCCAGGATGGGCTTTAAGGAAAGGAAGGGAATACTGGAGACAGATGTGGAGCTGCTCAAATAGGGCGCAGGGGGACCCCCATTTCCCATGGAAACAGATGTCACCGAGGATTGCATTATTGTTGCTTGGGAAGCCTCCTTCAGAGCAGTCTCTTTCCCCATTCAGCCTAAAGATGTTAGTCTCTCCTGACCACGAATGCTTGTCTAATCCAGAACTGGGCCTGTTCTTTATCTCAGGCTGTCTTGCACGCTAGGCTCTGCAGCCAAGAAGGACAGCCCCACCGGATGCCGAACCCAACCACGGAAACCTCCCAGATAGGCTTCCCAGAGAGGAGAGGCAGGTGCTGGAAACAATCCAGAGCAGAGGCAACAGAGGAAGAGGAGGAGGAGGAGGAAGAGCAGTCCCACCATTTGCTGAGCCCGGCAGATGAAACGCAGCTGCTCTTTCTCTTGGCCTGGTGATCGTCATAACCGAAGGGAACCGCGGAGAGCTTTCTAAACCCATCGGTTCTCCCCGGACGAGGCTGTCCATGGTTCATTTGCTAACGACCATTGGCCCAGCTGGTGTCTTATTAATTTGGAGGAAGGGTGAGTGAGCTGTAATTAACCTCCCAGAAGCCTGTCTTAACAGGGCCGGGGAATTCTCGGACTACTTCATTCGATCAGTCAAGCCAAGACAGGAGCAAAAGATTTCCCAGACTTTAGTCCTCAGGGGAGGGGAAGCTAACCGGGATGAGTAATTTGATGGCACCAGATACTCTTTCTCACAACAGCTACCAACCAAACGCTTTGTAACAAAAGCTTCCTAAGGAACAGGAGGCAAGGAAGAGAGAGTTGCTTTTCCGGCAGGATTGAGCCTTCCTTAATCTGGGGCAGGGGTCTCCAAACTTGGTAACTTGCAAGACTTGTGGACTTTAACTCCCAGAATTCTCCAGCCAGCTCTTTAACTCTGGGAGTTAAAGTCCACAAGTCTT